CAAAAAAAAATGTGTATAATAATATATTCGTCCTAAACTTAAGTACCCACAGAAATGTCGCATCTGAACATATTAATTTCATAATCTATATTCAATGATACGAGATGGCGTCTTAGGAATAATTTTTTTATTATTAATTTATAATACTTTTTTATTGAATAAGTATCTTATTAACCGATGAAAAGTAATTCCTTGGTTTTTACTGACATTTCTTGAATTATTTGTGCAATATCTAAGTACACAAGACGGCATATTTTTATCAAGAGATTTTTTTTAAATCAACACAACACGTGACAACTCTACAAGCGCCTAGCGAGTGACTGAGTAAAGTGCAGTGCATGCACCGCAGTTGAGTGGAACAGAGTAGCTGAATGCAGTGTCTCCTCTAGTACGTAGTACATAATAGCTCAATGTAATTATATCATTTTTTAGGCTTTAAAAAGGATGTTAATAAGATGAAAAGTCACAAAAGGAACATTTATCAAATAAAGACAAATTACTCACGATTTATATATTTATATCCATACTCGATAAAAAATCAGATATTCCTATAATGATTTCTTAAATTTACGCGAACACTATACATTGAATAAAACTATTATTTACGGATTTTTTTTTTTTTTTAATCCGTAAATAATAGTTTTATTCAGATATTCCTTTTCTCAAATTTCTTTTACCAAAACTTACGAATCTTATATAAAATTGGCTAAATTAATTCTGCAGCTGGCTATAGTGCACTACTAGATTTCTCATGGATTCGAAATTAATAAATTCAAATTCATAACAGTGCCGAAAACGCTTATTTTTTATTCATCAAGTGCGGCTCACGTCGATCGGCCTTTTTATTACAAACGAGCCGCATTTGACTAGTGTGATCAAAAATTGTTTCCGCATTGAATGAGTGAAAATAGATGTCATATTCGCGTGCAAAAGTGCGTTAAAATCAATATTTGTTAATCCCTGGAACACGCCGATTGTTGTTTTACACACTAGAGAAGAAAACTCAATGTTTCCTGAACTGAAATATCCAAAAACTACTTATATCAGGCATTTCACTTATAAATTACATGCACATGTATCATGTTTTATCATGTGTATGTGTTATTATATCTTTAGATTTGGGTAATCATCATCATCATCATCATTACAGCCCTTCACAAGTCCACTGCTGAACATAGGCCTCCCCCAAGTAATGCCACAAAGCACGTTCCTGAGCCACCTGCATCCATCGACTTCCTGCATGTCTTACCAGGTCGTCACTCCATCTAGTGAGGGGTCGCCCTACACTACGCCTACCGGTACGAGGCTGCCACTCGAGAACCTTTCTTCCCCATCGGTTATCGGTTCTTCGAGCTATATGGCCGGCCCATTGCCACTTCAGCTCGCTAATCCGTTGGGCTATGTCGGTCACTCTAGTTTTACTGCGGATATCCTCATTTCTGAGTCTATCACGCAGAGAAACTCCGAGCATAGCCCTCTCCATAGCTCGCTGAGCGACCTTGAGCGTCCTCATACGGCCAGCAGTGAAGGACCACGTCTCAGATCCGTAAGTCATCACTGGCAACACACACTGGTTGTACAATCTAGTTTTCAGAGATTGAGGTATACCTGACGAGAAGATGTGTCGTAATTTCCCGAACGCTGCCCAGCCGAGTTGAATCCGTCGATTGACCTCTCGGTCGAAGTTGGACTTACCTAGTCGGACTATTTGTCCCAGGTAAACGTACTCGTCAACAACTTCGTGCATAGTGCTCCCAACAACTACCGGCATAGGTGTGACACGGACATTGAACATAATCTTTGTTTTGTCCATGTTCATCTTAAGACCTATCCGTTGGGAGACACCATTGAGGTCAATTCTGCCATAAGGACTATATCGTCGGCAAATCGAAGGTGAGTGATGTACTCGCCATTGATGTTAATACCGTATCCTTTCCAGTCCAGTAGCTTGAAAACGGCTTCCAACGCAGCGGTGAAGAGTTTCGGGGATATAACGTCACCCTGTCTTACACCTCTCTGCAGTTGGATAGGTTTCGAACTCTGGTTCTGTACTTGGATAGCCATCGTAGCCCCACTGTACAAACACTTCAGCACTTCGATATACCGACAGTCAAGTTGGCACCGCTGAAGGGACTGTAGCACCGCCCAAATTTCGACGGAATCAAAGGCTTTCTCATAGTCCACATACGCCAGGCAAAGTGGCAGATTGTACTCTTCGGTCTTCTGTAAAATCTGCCACAGGGTATGTATGTGGTCTATGGTACTGAAGGCTTTTCGGAAACCGGCTTGTTCGGGAGGCTGGAAGTCGTCGAGTCTGCGTGCGAGACGATTCGTAATGATTCTCGAAAACAGCACGTAGACGCGGCTCAGAAGGGAAATCGGTCTGTAGTTCTTCAAGAGAGCGTTGTCGCCTTTATTAAAGAAGAAGACCACAGCACTTCTGCTCCACGCCTCCAGAGTAGTGCCACCATGGAGGACGGAATTGAAGGGCTTCTGAAGGACTTCAAGTACCGGTGTTCCACCCGCTTTCAGAAGCTCCGCTGTAATTCCATCCTCGCCTGGGGCCCTGCCGTTTTTAAGGTGCTGGAGAGCCATTCTAATCTCGCTCAGACTGACGTCCGGGATATCATCGGAATAGTGTCGGGTAAGACTTGCTCTTGGATCGTTACTCACACTTGCGTGTGGCTCCAACGATGATGTGTACAGCTGCCCATAGAACCTCTCAATCTCACTCAAAATCTCAGGTGTCCCGGAAACGATGCTGCCACGCTCAGTCTTCAGCTTTGACAGTTGGCTCTTTCTGGCAGACAGATCTCTGGCAAAGACCTTTGAGCCCTGGTTCCGCTCGATCGCTTCTTTAATACGAGCAGTATTAAAGTTGCGTAAGTCTTGCCGCATGCATTTGGAGATCTATCTGTTCAGTTGCCTGTATGCTGTCAAATCTGTTGACGATTGCAACCTCATCTCCCGTCTAACAGCCATGAGATTAAAGAGTGTGATCGGAGAGTTTTTGTGTTCTTCTGCGGCGGGTCTTGCAGAACTTAGCTCCGACCGCATGGACAGTTTCCACGAGCTTGTCATTCATATCGTCCACTGCATTGCAATCTTCTAGGCACTGAAAGCGGTTACGTAACTCGAGCTGAAAAGTCTCGGAATTCTGGATTAGAGCACGAGGGGGACGGAGCGTTGACTTCATTAGACGAGACCTCTCCAACTTAACGTTTAGGTTCAGTGTGCCCCTAACCATTCGGTGATCGCTGCCGGTTTTCACCCTTGCGATCACTGAGACATCACTGAACAGTTGGCGTCTGGTCGTCATAATGAAGTCAATCTTATTTTTTGTCGAATCGTCGGGGCTCGACCAGGTCCACTTCCTGTGGGGCCGCTTCTGGAAGAAAGAGTTCATTATAAAGAGTCCCTCTTTCTCCATAAAGTCAGCCAGCTGCTGGCCCCTACGGTTCCGTTGCCCTACTCCAAATTTCCCTAACTTCAGCTCACCGCCTTCTCTTGTGCCTAGTTTTGCGTTGAAGTCTCCCATCAACACCGTGTAGTGGGTTTTGGAGGAATGCATGGCTCTGGAAATATCCTCATACATTTCCTCAACCTCCTCATCGGGATGTGCCGAGGTTGGTGCGTAGACCTGTATGACCTTCAGCGAATACCGTTTGGTGATTCTGAGTATCAGGTACGCGACTCTCGTCGACACACTCCCAATCTTTACAACGTTGTTGACGAGAAACTTGTGGACGATAAATCCGACACCTCCTTGGGACAGATGGTCGCCCTCCCGGTGATAGAACAAATTGCCGGACTCGAGGATTACCGTGTCCTTCGGACCTCAGATAATCCAATAATATGCCAGCGCAACTTGTCTACCTCTTCTTCCAGCTCCAGTATCTTCTCGTCAGTCCTCAGGGTGCGTGCGTTATACGTTGCCAGGTCGAGTCGTCGTAGGTGGCAACCGAACCTCCACCGGAGATTCTTAGCATCCCCTGCCGCGCCGTTACCATGGTCGCCAAAAACTAAAAGATTTGGGTAAAGTATAATTCAACTATACATTACGCCGATCGGCGTGGTCCGAATTTTTGTATAAAAAATAATACACCGATTGGCGTACGTCGTATTGAATGGGCTAAACAGTAGATTCAAATACTAAACATTTAAAAATCATTTCTATTTATGTATTGTCCATAGTTTTGTTAATTTTTTTGCATGTTTTATTATTAAGCTCTTTTTTTCTTTCAACACTTGGCACCCTATCAGAAGTGCAGCAGTAAACACTATACACTAAAGGAGGTGACTGCTGATAGTAGTTTTATTGTAGGTTATTAAACTGTTGACCTGCTTTAATTATATTATGATTATGATACACACAGTACATTGTTTCGGTGTTTGCAGTTATTTATGTAGTAAGTTTATTCATATTACTGTATTTTGTTACACTACAATTATAATAATAAGTAAATTGTATGTATGTAAACTAAGGGCTGCATTTATGAATCATGTCATAAGATCTGGGCAAAACCAATTACAATAGATGCATTAGGGTTTGTATTAGGTGCTGAACAAAGGCTACTTCCATAGAGTGCATCATTGCCCCATATTTGTCTTAGTTGCCATGCTTAATAGGCATTACATTATTAGAAGGATGCTGCTGCCCATCTCCAGTTTTCCTCTGTACCTGTTCCATTTGTACATTTACCTATACATTTTTTGTTTATCACAGAATACCAGCATTTAAAAAAGTAGCTTAATGCTGCTGTGTTTCATATGGTGAGTGTAGAGAACCAGAGACCCTTCTACTAGAAACGAGGCATTCCATCTCAGTCATCACGGGTGACAAGGCATCTGTATTTTCATTTGTAATCGAGGATAGATGTAGATGTCTATGGGCCACAGTAACCACTTACCATCAGGTGGACTGTGTGTTTGTTTGCCACCTATATTATAAAAAAAATATTATAAGATTCATCATTGGCGACACAAAAATCTTAACTCACCACAGACATTTCTTTGTTTTGGTAGAATGGACACCATCCAACATTCGCCACCATCTTATGTACTGCTTTGGAGTCCACTTGAGCCCAACCATAATAAACTCCTGGGGCTAATCCTTTTGGAAGGGACTTCACTACCTCTAGTGAAAAGTTAGCTGTAAAAATGTCCCTTATTCATTAGAAATCGCTCAAATTAAAGAAAAAAGTTTTTTTTAAGGAGCATAAATTTTTGCATAAATGCCATTATTTTATAATTTTGACAAAAAACATTTTTAACTGTTACTATACTGTGCCTAATACAAACTTATATTAATTTACTGTTATATTATTCTAATACCAATTTGAAAAAATATTATTTAATGGTATTGTTTTTAGTCCTAAATTGTTCTGCGAGTGACAGAAAGTTAGCATAGATAATTTGGTGGATAAGATTGGTACCTATTTGAAAAAAATATATTACTGGTACTGGACTTAATTTTACAAGTTATTTTATCAGCATAGAAATGTTATCATCAACAATTACAAAACATATTCATCATATTATCATCATCATCATTCTAGCCTATCACAACTTCAATGCTGAATATAGGCCTCCCCATAGATTGCAGCCAAAACAAAGTACACAGTCCTGAACCATCCATTGAATACATGCACGTTTCATCAGGTTGTCACTCCATCTGGCGGGGGTTGGCCAACACTGTGCTTGCTATTACTAGACTGACAATGGATAAACTTTCTTCCTCATCAAGATATCAGCGCTTCAAGTTATATATGGGCAGCATATTGTGTCTTCTATCTACTGATCCACTGAGCAACAACAGTTTCTCTCATTCTTCTTTAGATAAACAAAGATATAAATCGTGATTTTGTTATGCAGGGAAACTGCAATCAGTTCTTTCTATCGCTTGCCAAGTGACTTTGAAGGTCCTCATATTGCTTAATGCATTATTTTATTTTAATATCTCACAAGGGCCTTAACCTTAACTTAAACCTTACTAAAAACAAGAGTAAAATTAAAAATTTTGTACAACCAACTTCAATATAAATAAAATGAGAACATCATCAATGTACGAGGGGTGATCCGAAAGTAATGATAATCGGTTACTTCAGGTCCGCATAGAAATCCAAAAAAAATATTTTTTGCTTGCTTATATACTCACTACGTCAGCCTAAAAAAATCATATAAATAGATCACGATTTCCGGGAGATGCAGCCCCTCCAATCACCGTCCCATCAGCCTCCTCAAGGCCATGGGCAAACTTTTCGAACGAGTCATTCTCGTGCGCATGAGGCGCCATTTGTTTCCCACAGACGGCGACCCTCTTGTCATTCCACAACAATTCGGGTTTCGAGCCAAACACTCGTGCCCCCAGCAAGTTCACCGCATAGTGGAATATATCCTCAGCGGTTTTTATCCTCGTCGTCAAAAAACCATCGCGGTCTTCTTCGACATTGCCAAGGCATTCGACAGAGTCTGGCACGAGGGCCTTATCTACAAATTGTATTACTTAGGCCTCCCAGACTGTCTCGTTCGCCTTGTAGCCTCCTATCTGAAGGATAGTACTTTTCGTTTTAGACACGAAGGCACGCTATCCTCTACTCGTCAAATCAAAGCCGGTGTCTCTCAAGGCTCTGTGCTTGCCCTCCTCCTATACATACTATTCACCAACGACATCCCTATCCCGTCGAATGGTGTTAAACTAGCCCTCTTCGCAGATGACACAGCCCTTTACTCTAAAGGCAACTCACTGCCACAGATTCGGAACAAGATCCAAAAGTCAGTAAGCGACTTAGGAGCTTGGTTCCAAAAATGGCGTATCGCAAACTAAAGCCAAATACTTAGGCGTCACCCTTGATGCAAGGCTCACTTTCGAGCCCCATATCAAGAAAGTTACTCGCACCGCACGATTTTACATGGGTAGGCTCAACAACATGTTGGGCAGACACAGTAAAATGTCCCTCCGCAACAAGCGAACCCTATATATAAGGTCTGCATACGACCTGTCATGACCTACGCGGCCCCCATTTTCGCACATGCTAAGCCCAAAGCTATAAATGAACTTCGAATAGTCCAAAATCTATTCTGTCGTAGGGCCACTAACTCGCCCTATTATGTCCGTAATGCTGACTTACAACGAGACTTAGAGCTCCCAACAATCCAGCAGTTCCTTAAATCACTCTCTGAGAGATTTTTCAAAGCCTCAGAGTCCCACCCAAATCATCTCATTCGTGAGACAGCTGCCTATGCAGCCCCTATCCACTCGCTATAGTGTGCGCAGACCGAGAAGCTCTCTCTCGGACCCCCCCAACAAGCTTTCGGCTGACCTGAACTGCCTCCTGGCAACTCAGGCCGAGCCTACATAACACATCCCTTAATCTGCCTTAGTTAGGCAGTCGTCTAAACGGCTTTTTGCCGCTTGCGCCCCCCTTTCTGCCAAGGAGGGTCGCGTTCGTATACGGCTTAGAGATCTCTAGTTAGACCGTTAAGCCAGTCCCTAAAACGTGGGGTTTAGTGGGTAAAAGTCTCCACATAACCACGCAGCCGGCTGCGTGGTATGCTATGAGCATTCCCCACCTCCCTCCCTCGCTTTCCGGAGGGTTGCCCATATCTGCTTCGGGCGCAAAAAAAAAAAAAGGGAGATACATTCATTTGAATACGAACTGTGAAAGAGATAACATCAACATGGAGAAAAACGAAATTAGAGCTGTCATCAAATACCTCTGTTTGAAAAAAACGAAATTAGAGCTGTCATCAAATACCTCTGTTTGAAAAAAATGTCTTCAAAAGACAGTGACTTAGTGGAAACATTGGGGGACTCTGCTCCTCCATATTCTACAGTTGCATGCTGGGCCAAGGAGTTTAAACTGGGCAGAACATCCACTGAAGATGAACATCGCGAAGGACGCCCATCCACGTCCCTCACTGAAGACAATGTGAAAAAAGTCGAAGATGTTGTGTTGGCAGATTGAAGAGTGACCATCAGGAATGTAGCCGAGGTCACAGGGATCTCATATGGCAGCATTCAAAGAATCATAAGTTCAATCAGAAGAAAAAGGTCTCTGCGCGTTGGGTACCCAGAATGTTAACCGACGAGCAAAAGGATAATCGAGTTGACATTTCGAGGGTCAATCTCGAAAAGTTCCAAGCAGATCAAGAAAATTTTTTGTTCCGTTTTGTGACTATGGACGAGACCTGGATCCACCATTTTGATCCTGAAACGAAACAACAATCGATGACTTGGAAGCGAGCCTCCTCACCGATGCCAAAGAAATTCAAAGTTTCAAGTTCGGCGGGAAAGGTTATGGCATCTGTTTTTTGGGACGCTCAAAGCATAATTATGGTGGAATATTTGGAAAAGGGAGCCACTATTACGGGCTCTTACTACGCAGACCAAATAAGAAGATTATGGGAGGCCATTAAGGAAAAAAGACGCAGCAAACTGCGAGCTGGAGTGCTGTTTCACCAAGACAATGCACCGGCTCACAAAGCAGCAGTTGCGATGGCTGCCATTCAAGAAACGGGATTCGAACTGCTCGAACACCTTTCCTATTCGCCAGATCTAGCTCCTAGTGATTTCTACCTCTTTCCTCGGCTCAAGGAACGCCTCCGAGGCAAGAAATTCGAAGACTATAGCGAAGTAATGGCCGCTGTTGAAGCGTTTTGGGAGGGTCAAGACAAAGAATTTTTTTCAAAGGGAAGCCTGGGTTTAGAAAAAAGATGGACTAAATGTATTGATTTGTTAGGAGACTATGTAAAAAAATAAATTATTATTTTAACTTTAATCACCGTATTTTACTTTCATTATCATTACTTATGGATCACCCCTCGTATTCATAGTCAATTCAAATTCAGTCAGTCAAATTGAGTACCTCCTTCTTTTTGAAGTCCGTTAAAAAAATCTAGATACATGACTGTCAACTAAAATTGGAGAAGAAAATGGCGATGCACTAGCACTATTTCAAGCTATGTACAATTTGGAACTCATAAAAGACCATTTTAATTTTGTGTGTATTATTTTACTGACCGACTCATTAAAAACCAAGACGAGTTCTAGGTGACTTACTCCACCACTGTATTGAGGTAAGAAAAATGAATCATAAACAACACTTGAAGGATGAACACTATGCATTTATTATAATCAACCAACAGTTAACATAGCTAGCTACTCTGAGCTATGCAAAGCAACAACTCTGCCGCTTTTTTAATTTCGGTTATAACATATTTAATACCGCCGATGTGGCGAGTTTGTAGAAGAGACAAAAATAATCATAAAAATATGTCAAAACTGAATGAACTGTGATATAATAACACAATCCCTATACCTAGAGGTTCGCCGCGCTGTAGTATAAATTACCATTGGTGGCAGAAACTGGAAATACCCCAAACATTACAGTAAAATATTACTGTGATGTTGTACCCCAAATATTCAGTAAAAAAGTATATTTATAATACATGGACATAAATGCAAATCTATTGATAAACTCATTTACCTGTTGGGCAACCCAAATCTTTAGACCCTCTTCCAAAACCTTTTACCACTTCACCCTCAATAAATAATGGTAATAATGGTGACATTTTTTGAAACAAATTTCTTAAGAATAATCGCATAAACTTAAAATACGATTATTAACAATAAAAGAACAGTGTATGATTTCTAGTCAAAACATTATCAATAGTCAATATGTAAATAATCAAAAAGTCTTCTTAGTAATATCTTTCTACTATTTGCTCAGAGAATTGATAGATTAAATATATTATTATTTTTATCACTGAATAATGTAGTTGTTATTTATACAATGATAAAATTAGGTACGTTTTTGAGAATTGATTATAAGTTCAACGATATGTAAATCCATAGAGGAAAGTATGTAAATCGTAGAGAGTACCTTTGAGCATAGAAAATATTTTTCTATACTCAAAGCATAGAGTAGAGTAATATATTATACAGAACTCAAAGAGAGAGTACTATATTCCTTGGTAATAAGAGAAACCTACTGTCTAAAATATTATTTTTTTGGAGTTTATGGCCTGGTATCTAGACCTATAGGCCAACTACGTTATAAATAGATAAAATACTAGTATTTAAATCGTAGACAGAGAATCCTATAGACTCCGCCATAGCGTGTCGCAGAAAGGGACAAAAGAAAATACGTCACTATATTTAGGGTTACAAGTGTGAGGAATAATTTACCCCACAACTAGCTAAACAATTAGAAATTAGTACGTGAAGTAAGCCTGAAATGGAACGTTGCTATTAACGATTATCATTGATATGTATTGTAGTTGATGGAGAGCTAAGTACAGTCCGTATTTGACTAATTATTTATTATAATTTACTGTGGTGAAGAAAGAAGAATATCTGTCTGACTATTAAACATAAAGAAACTATTGTGTAATGAATGAGAGCTTAGTGAGCTGTATTTATGTAGGTTGTGTTTTAATATTGAAGAAAGAAGATACTGAACTAACTGTTACCAGCCCTCTGTCACTCTTGCTATCTGCGTGAAATAATTACCTACAATCGCTAGGATAACATACGCAGTCGGGGCTAGCGCGATGTAGGCGATTGAATGTTTGTTTTGAGTTTTTTAACGTAACATAAACACTCACGCCTGTCACCCAGAGGGATAGGCAGAGACTACGGACTTCCATTTGGCACGATCCTTACATACCTCTTTCGCCTCCTTTACATCCATATATCTACGCATACATGCTCGTCGGTTAAGGGTACTTCTAACGTGACCCATTTTCAAAATATCGCCAATTTGGTCGATAAACTTTTTTTTTAACGGTGTTTACGTAGTTTTTTTTGTAAATACTTGTTGAAATAGTCTTTGTTTAGTGTTATTTATATTATTTTACCTATTTGATAATTTTTAATGGAAAAACGTCGCTCCTACTATAATTGTTGCGTGGATGGATGCCAAATGCCCAAAAAAAGGTTTCAGATATATCATTCTTTAAAATTACCGAAGGATTTTAGAAGCAAGTTATGAAAGGCGAATTTATTTCTTTTTTTTTTTTTTTTGTTAGATAGGTACTGATAGTAAAAAAGAATTAAGTAATAACACAGTCTATAAATCCATACAGTCGTCCGACTAAGACGTCTAGACGGGGCAATCGTGCGGGGTGTGGAGACGCGGGAAGGACGAGCCCGATCTGCTTATGCCAATCGTATTAGTAGCTCGGGACACGACTTCCAGGGTTAGCGCGCGCTTGCTTTTATTATTTTTAAATGTTATCATCCATTTTTATATCCAAGATGGCGGACATTTTTTTTAATAATATGATATGGGTATCAATTTCGGGGTTTCTTGGGGTGCTTATTACGAAACTGGCATCCATTTTCATATCCAAGATGGCTGACATTTTTTTTTATGATACGATGAGGGTATCAATTTCGGTGTTTCTTGGGGTGCTTATTACGAAACTGGCATCCATTTTCATATCCAATATGGCTAACATTTTTTAATAATATGATATGGGTATCAATTTCGAGGTTTCTTAGGGTGCTGATAACGAAAATGGAATTTATTTTTAAATCCAAGATAGTGGACATCATTTTTTTAATGTTAGGGATGTCAATTTTGAGGAGGAGTCGAAACTGAGGTATGGCCACATATCGAGAGTAGAGCACTCCCTCATGTTGTGAGGCGTGCAATTAGCGTTTTGAGTACTTTCAGGAAAAATGTAAGAACAAATTATTACTTATTCTTTATATTAGTAATCATATTGTTGATCACGATGTAGATCTAAAATAAATAATGAAATTAGTAAAAGTTGTTAATTTGTGACAACTCTAACTTCCATACGCTGTCTAGACGTTGTCGGCATTTACCACGAGATCAAAGGCGTCGTCCTACTGTATGTTTTTATTATACTGTGGTAATAATTTATCTACACAAGTAAAACCTATGTACTTTATTACTTAACGTAGTTGAAATTTACTTCACTATCCAAGTATCTACATACTTACATACCTATATATTATGTCTTGTAATTAAAATATAAAATTGTAATAAAAAATAATTAAGTTATAATAACACTAAACACTGAAATTAAAACTTTGTTTTCTAACAAGATTTTTAACTGAGTAGAATACGATCACATTTCTGTTAGGAATCGTATTTCGGGTTTATTTGCTGTGGCCTTGCTAGTTGCATGCGTTGAGCATCGCAGAAATCACATAGGTACAAAAATATGATCAGTCGATCGAGTTAGAATAGGTACTTCACCTAAGTAACTTAATTAACATTTTGCAATGTATTTTTTTACTCTTTATTGTTAGCCCTTAGTAACCACGAAAAGTCCGCCATGGCGCAGGAAGGGGAAAAGATGCAAAGTAACATTGACACTCGCGCGCAGCGATAAAATTTTATTTAGCTTGCATGCGCGATTTATCTGATTAATAATAATGTAGGCTATTTAACGTCGGCAAGCAGTCGACATCAAAGGAGTGCAAATTCTTTACGTAGTACTATTATTTATTCTGTGCTGTTACTGTGAGAATTTATTGCTATTTTAAACTGCTAGGATTAAAGTTAAATTAAAGATTGTACAAAAAACTAAAGTAAATTTATTAAACTATTTACACAAAGCGGCAGTCTTACAAACTATCACTAATCTAATGCCTAATGGGACCTAATAGGGAGCCTTAGAGGTCTTCTTGCTAGTTGTTCTTCTCTTAAGCACTGTCGCGAATGTCGTACGCCGGCCGGTAGCCCTTCTTTCATTCCCGCCGACGGGGTCACGTTGGCGCTGACTAGAATGTTAGGTTTAGCATGGTCGTATTTGATGCATAGAATAACCTATTGACTATTTGCTAGTTTACACCTTTGTCAACTTAACCCTTCAATTCAGTATTGGGTCGAGGAAAAATAATATTATTTTTATTTAATATTGTTTACCTACTTACATGAATGCATAAATTATTATCAATTTCCATAAGTGATTCTTCATGTAAATTGATGGAGGAAGATGTTGGAATACAAGCTTTTGTTTCCTAAAAGTTAATTATCTTTAAAACATTAATTAATACAAAATAGGTGTAGAAAGATGCATTTTACAGAAAATTTAATTTAAAGTTCTAGGTATATTAAACTCTGAACAAGATTCAAGTTTTAATATTGATTGTTAAAACTTGAATCGCATTCAGAGTCTAAAAGAAGCCTGTCTCAGTCATTTATTGCTATTAAAATTCACAAAATAATGTTTGTAACAAACAAGATAATTGTACTAAATAGTATGAATATGTCATTAACTGAATATTTACCAGAATTGGTACAGCATAAGGTAATAGCAGAGTAAGTTTCTTCTTTTTTATTAAGATCTTATCCTTAAAATGTCTGCTGCAAATTTTTGATGACGGTTTTGGTGGCCAGTCTGTTCGTCCTGTAGCCACAATCCAATTCCGACGTAAATTATCATGTTCAGGAAAACTGCAACAAACCATTCATAGACACTGCAGAATACATATCTGTACACCTTAGGCAAATGATCATAAGTCACATTAAGCTAATTGTTCAGTGCACACGTTTTAAGTCTCAATTTGAACAATACTACACAATTGTAAATAAAAAATTATTTGTTGTTTAAAAGTAGTTTTTGATTACAATAAGACATTAATGAAAATGTAATTAATTATTTAAATAATGAACTTGGGATATGCTACCTCTAAACACTAAAGATAATTTTTTATAAGTTACATGTAATAAAAGAACATCCTAAGTCCTGATTTTCAAGGCACTATGAAAATCATGTTTCGTTAATCACAAGTTTTGTTTACTATTCATAAGCATTATCGTCGTCGGGAAAGTCCGATGCAGTGGAAGATTGTGGAATTTTTATAATAGTCATGACAACATGACGGCAATTCAATATGAATGTAAATCTTGGTATCTTTATATTTTTTGGCTAAAATTGAAATTAAGTTTTGGTTCATATTTTGTAAACTTCCTGGAAAATTCAACTCTTTCCTCTTCCGACGCCTTAAGTCTGTCATTTTAAAATTTTGATTATCAAATGAATTTTATATACCCAGTTTTCTTTTCTAACTTGCAAAGTAACTGACTTTGAAATTTGAAATGGTTCCTTATCAATATTTACTTTTCTATTAATAAAATGACCATTAGTAAATAATAAATATTAAAATCTTCAAGTTCTATATTGTTGACTGTATATTTGTAAAAACATAGCGGAATAAATTGTTGCCAGTCCCAAGGTGTTATTATAAGTGTAGGTAAGTTTTTACATCTTCTCTTAATATTGTATCTGCTTATAATATATATAACTTTGAACTGAGAAAATTTTTAAGAAGGAAAAACATGCACAAGACAACATAAATATTCTTATTTTGCACATAACAGTTATCTGACCTGGTCACTGACTGATATGGTCATTTGTTCAATATCTGACCCTGGTACATTTTTCATCATCATCATCATCATTACAGCCCTTCACAAGTCCACTGCTGAACATAGGCCTCCCCCAAGTAATGCCACAAAGCACGGTCCTGAGCCACCTGCATCCATCGACTTCCTGCATGTCTTACCAGGTCGTCACTCCATCTAGTGGGGGGTCGCCCTACACTACGCCTACCGGTACGAGGCTGCCACTCGAGAACCTTTCTTCCCCATCGGTTATCGGTTCTTCGAGCTATATGGCCGGCCCATTGCCACTTCAGCTTACTAATCCGTTGGGCTATGTCGGTAACTCTGGTTTTACTGCGGATATCCTCATTTCTGAGTCTATCACGCAGAGAAACTCCAAGCATAGCCCTCTCCATAGCTCGCTGAGCGACCTTAAGCGTCCTCATACGGCCAGCAGTGAAGGACCACGTCTCAGATCCGTAAGTCATCACTGGCAACACGCACTGGTTGTACAATCTAGTTTTTAGAGATTGAGGTATACCTGACGAAAAGATATGTCGTAATTTCCCGAACGCTGCCCAGCCGAGTTGAATCCGTCGATTGACCTCTCGGTCTAAGTTGGACTTACCTAGTCGGACTATTTGTCCCAGGTAAACGTACTCGTCAACAACTTCGAGCATAGTGCTTCCAACAACTACCGGCATAGGTGTGACATGGACATTAAACATGATCTTTGTTTTGTCCATGTTCATCTTAAGACCTATCCGTTGGGAGGCACTATTGAGGTCATTGAGCATAATGCTTAAGTCCTCCAGCGATTCTGCCATAATGACTATATCGTCGGCAAATCGAAGGTGAGTGATGTACTCGCCATTGATGTTAATACCGTATCCTTTCCAGTCCAGTAGCTTGAAAGCGTCTTCCAACGCAGCGGTGAAGAGTTTCGGGGATATAACATCACCCTGTCTTACACCTCTCTGCAGTTGGATAGGTTTCGAACTCTGGTTCTGTACTCGGATAGCCATCGTAGCCCTACTGTACAAACACTTCAGCACTTCGATGTACCGACAGTCAACTTGGCACCGCTGAAGGGACTGTAGCACCGCCCAAATTTCGACGGAATCAAAGGCTTTCTCATAGTCCACATATGCCAGGCAAAGTGGCAGATTGTACTCTTCGGTCTTCTGTACAATCTGCCGCAGGGTATGTATGTGGTCTATGGTACTGAAGCCTTTTCGGAAACCGGCTTGTTCGGGAGGCTGGAAGTCGTCGAGTCTGCGTGCGAGACGATTCGTAATGACTCTCGAAAATAGCATGTAGACGCGGCTCAGAAGGGAAATCGGTCTGTAGTTCTTCAAGAGAGCGTTGTCGCCTTTCTTAAAGAACAAAACCACCGCGCTTCTGCTCCACGCCTCCGGAGTAGTGCCACCATGGAGGACGGAATTGAAGAGCTTCCGAAGGACTTCAAGTACCGGTTTTCCACCCGCTTTCAGAAGCTCCGCTGTAATTCCATCCTCGCCCGGGGCCTTGCCGTTTTTAAGGTGGTGGAGAGCCATTCTAATCTCGCTCAGACTGACGTCCGGGATATCATCGGAATAGTGTCGGATAAGACTTGCTCTTGGATCGTTACTCACACTTGCGTGTGGCTCCAACGATGATGTGTACAGCTGCCCATAGAACCTCTCAATCTCACTCAAAATCTCAGGTGTCCCGGAAACGATGTTGCCACACTCAGTCTTCAGCTTTGACAGTTGGCTCTTTCTGGCAGACAGATCTCTGGCAAAGACTTTGGAGCCCTGGTTCCGCTCGATCGCTTCTTTAATACGAGAAGTATTAAAGTTGCGTAAGTCTCGCCGCATGCATTTGGAGATCTGTCTGTTCAGTTGCCTGTATGCTGTCAAATCTGTTGACGATTGCAGCCTCATCTCCCGTCTAACAGCCATGAGATTAAGAGTGTGATCGGAGAGTTTTTGTGTTCTTCTGCGGCGGGTCTTGCAGAACTTAGCTCCGACCGTATGGACAGTTTCCACGAGCTTGTCGTTCATATCGTCCACTGCATTGCAATCTTCTAGGCACTGGAAGCGGTTACGTAACTCGAGCTGAAAGGTTTCGGGATTCTGGATTAGAGCACGAGGGGGGCGGAGCGTTGACTTCATTAGACGAGACCTCTCCAACTTAACGTTTAGGTTCAGTGTGCCTCTAACCATTCGGTGATCGCTGCCAGTTTTCACCCTTGCGATCACTGAGACATCACTGAACAGTTGGCGTCTGGTCGTCATAATGAAGTCAATCTCATTTTTTGTCGAACCGTCGGGGCTCGACCAGGTCCACTTCCTGTGGGGCCGCTTCTGGAAGAAAGAGTTCATCATAAAGAGTCCCTCTTTCTCCATAAAGTCGGCCAGCTGCTGGCCCCTTCGGTTCCGTTGCCCTACTCCAAATTTCCCTACCTTCAGCTCACCGCTTTCTCTTGTGCCTAGTTTTGCGTTGAAGTCTCCCATCAACACCGTGTAGTGGGTTTTGGAGGAATGTATGGCTCTGGAAATATCCTCATACATTTCCTCCACCTCCTCATCGGGATGTGCCGAGGTTGGTACATTTTTAGATGCCCAGTTTTAGATGTTTGAAGCTATTTCGTTTCCATCCCTTTGAGCTTTAGTTTCATTCCACATAAATAGAAATGCAGAACTGTCAGAACCATCATAAATATTGTAATTTAATATCCAAATTTTTCTCCTATAGAAATTAACCCCATTTTAGGTCTGTATTTTGATTCAGACATATCCTGCGATTTATGTTTGTACCTATTATCAGCTTTCATAATTAAAGGTAAATCTTTTTCTATTTACAGAAGTTGTTTCTCAGTGCCATCCTACATCCCTTTAAGTTTTGCTGAAAACATATCGCAATCGTCAAAAGTATAAAGTAATTTGTAAAGATCGTACATTCGTTCAATAACATCTCTTTGATCTCTCACGATTGTATTGACATTTATACTTTGGGAGAGATGAAATGTGGGACATAACAGATTTAATAATTTCAGGATCCGTTTAGTTAGATGGTTTATGTTTCCCCCTTTTGTCACTTTCGACAATACATCCCTCTTATCTCAGTCTTAACCACTTGTTGGGAAATTTAGAAACATTGTCTTACAGATTGCATTAACAACAAAGGTATTTGATCCTAACTTAGATTCATCTCCTGATCTCAGTCTTTGTCTAGTTGTAGGTTTTGACTGGACACATGATACTATGAATTACCTCTTAACATTGTAGTCTTTTTCTGGATCCCAATAAAAAGTAAATATCTCTTTCTTATTCTGCTGGGATATTTTAGTACTGCATTTCATGCGGAAATTCGTGCTACATGCACCACTTTTGTTCATGTAAGCTTAAGATCATTTCTTATTCGCTTTTTTCCTGTCTGCTCTATTGTACTTCTATTCCGATCTTTTATTTTTTTGGTAGATTATTAAGTATGAATTTGTTGTAAATTATTCTGGCATATAGAATTTGGTATATCTTGAGATGTGCTTGGAACACCCTCTTCAAGCGCAGCCAAAGGCACAATTTACATAATACAATAAATAAATACAAATAATAAAGTGCAACTTACGTTCAAAAACAAACTTCTCATCTTATTTGGACTTAGGATGCTTTTGTTTTTGATAATTGAGCGGAACAAAAGCATAAATCCAGATCAGATTGTATACCTTTGAATTAACCTGGACTTAAAACATGTTAACGAGTTCGAAAGCATGTAGTTTTTTTAGTTGGACTTAAGAATACTTTAGCACCAAGTAGATCGTTATTTTTTGTTTCAATGACATTACAAAGTGAATGTCGAAAAAATGGACTTAGGATAATACGCCTTCGGTACGCAGATATTATTATTTCCTATAATAGTGGGTAATAACTTATAGAAAAGTTGGCCACACCGAAGATTTTATGTTAAAATTTGCAATTGTTATTTTTGTACTTTTTAGCGATAAATTTACGTCTAGAGTACATTATACACAATGTATGTATTTTATTAAATGTTACAGACTGCCTAGTAACCGATAGTATGGTATACTTACGAATGAAAAGACAACCCCGCCATTTTCCTTTCACTATCACTTTTACACCCTAATACACTACACCGCACCATGTTTTAAATAAAAATGGTTGGAATACTACGTCTTAATTGTTCACAACAAAATATAATATGAAATACTTATCATAAAACACATAAAACAGTATTTTATACAAAGAATTTATCACGCTACACGTTAGCTCTCAAACTTTATTTAGCAAAGTGGTTTGCTAAATATTAAAAATGGCGACACGCTAAGCGAAACAAAAAATCTCATCGTTCTTTCTCATTTCTTTACACGACTTCGGCGTAAGTTGCTCTTTCTCTTGTGTGACTGCGATAAAAGATATCACTTTGTCTATAGTATTCTCTGTCTACGATTTAAATAGACAAAATAATAGTATTGCCCTGTATTGTAACTTTTATTTTCCCTTTTATCAATGTTGTTTAACTTACTAATAGGGGCTACACACGATCACTTTTAACTGTCAGTTTTGACTAACCAGTTTGAACTGACAGTTAAAACTGACGTCCTTTGCACCCACACACGTTCAGTTTTTAACTGTTCTCTTTGACCACAAACAACATTATCATCTCAAAATGTCATCAGCCGACGACGACGCTTTAGCCGTGCTTGGTTTATTAATGATTTTAAAAAATAAAAATAAAAAAAATATACGCAAAGAGTGGTGTAAAGAGTGGTTAAAAAAACGAAAATTTATTCCCATGTTAATTTATTAACCGAACTAAAAATTGTTTCGAAGGATTGGCACAACTATCTCAGAATGAGTGAAGAAATATACCTCAATCTACTATCTCTAGTGTCTCCACTGATTAGAAGAAAGGATACAGTTATGAGAAATGCTATTTCGTCACATGAGAGATTAACAGCAACGTTACGATTTCTAGCAACAGGACGGAGCTATGAAGATTTAAAGTTTTCCACAATTATTTCACCTCAAGCCCTCAGCAGCATAATACCAGACACATGTGAGGTTTTATTCAAAGTACTTTGCCCAGATTTTTTAAGAGTAAGAAAACTTAGAACATTTAATAATTGCTTTTATTACTAAATTATCAAGAGATGACTTAAAAAAAAATAAACTGAATGCGGTTTAGAGGCCTACGATTCATTTTGCATGTACTGAGATAAAAATGAAGTCGCAGTGTTTACTTCTTGTAAAGGTATAGACATTTCAGGGATTGAAATTTGTACCGCTCCTGTATTGTTGTCTAAAAGGTATGGCTGAAGTATGCTCTGTGATTCTGTAGTGTTAGAATTTATTTGTTGTATTGTTGCTCGATCCGATATTTTGTGGTCAATAGTCAATTTATCCATTTCAGCTAAGAATAGAGCTTCGTTTATAATACGTTCCGCTAAAATGCGCTGTTCTTTAGGAAGATCACGCAACTTCATTGCCACGTTTTTCCCAAAAATATCGAAACGATCATCCCGCTGTACAGGACGTTTAAAATGATCCTGTACAGTTAATAAAACGTCATTGGTTAAAGTTTGATTGAGATTCCTTTTTGTCAGTCTCGGATGGTGAGGTGGTGCCGACGATGATGCTGAATTTCCTGTGTCAGATTCAGAATGGTTTGAAGCCAAAGATGAACCTGGTCTAGAGTCTAGGTCTTCATTCTGTAACAATAATACATACACAATTAATAATATAATAATATATAATGTTTTATTTTCAGTTTCCCAATACGGAACAAGATTGGAAAAATATTGCTGAAAAGTTTGAGAAGAGATGGAACTTTCCACATTGCTTAGGAGCAATAGATGGAAAGCATGTTTCAATTGCTTTACCCCCTGGATGTGGATCAGAATTTTATAATTATAAAAACCGACATAGCAGGGTTTTAATGGCTATTGTGGATGCTCAATACAAGTTCCTTTTGTGTGATTTTGGCACAAATGGAAGAATTTCAGATGGTGGAGTATTACGAAACACTGTATTTTTCGAAAAATTTCAAGACAGTAAATTAAACATCCCAGCCGCCGAACTAGTCAAAAATAGCAACAGAAGTTTACCTTACGTATTTGTTGCTGATGATGCGTTTCCATTGAGAACAGACATGATTAAACCATTTAGACAAGCAGATCTTAATACTTATGAGAAAAAAATATACAATTATCAGTATCAAGAGCAAGGAGAATTGTTGAGAATGCTTTTGGGATTTTAGCGTCTCGGTTCCGTATATTTCACACAGAAATAAACATCGAAACAATAAATATTGATTCCGTTGTAATGGCATGTTGTGCTCTACACAATTACTTAACTGAAACAAACCAAGCCAATTACAGTCCTCCTGAAATTCTTGATAGGGAATTTTTTGATAACGGAACAATTATACAGGGAGTGACTTCGGCAGATTCGGACATGATAGATTTAGATAGAAGACACCAAGGAAATATAACAAATGCAGCCAAGAAAACAAGGGAAGATTTTATGAACTATTTCGTGAATGAAGGACAAGTTCCATGGCAGGATAATTTTATTCGTTAATGTTATAATAGTCTAATATCAATAAACTAAATTATAAAATAAACAATAATAGAGTATATTTACTCACGTCATTTGTTTCTTAGTCATCCTTGGAAATATTTGATCTTGAGGATCGTGGTACTTTTTGGTCGGTGAGAAATTGTAGTAAATCGTAATACCATAACTTTGGTATATAAATATCATCTTTGCCAGATCCTGATCTTTGTGACGATTTGACTTTCAAAACTTCTTTTTTGAACGTGCAACGCAGTGTGTTAATTTTACTTTTCACTGTGTCTATAGTTGCCGTAGAGTCAATTTCTTTAATTTTTTCTAATAATACCTTGTAAGCTGCCGATTTCCTTTCTCGGTCATGATACTCCTTACTTTTATTCTGCCATAAGCAAGGTTCATTCCTATATAATTCTATAAACTCGGCCAACCACAGTCTTTGCGTCATTTTTCTGCGTATGCGAAGAGAATAAACATGTACAGACCAGTTTCTTTTTCGTGATCGCCACACGACTGAAGAAACACCCCCTACACACGTACAGTTTTAACTGATCAGTTCCGTCATTTCAGTTAAAAAATATGTATCAACAATATATCATCAGTTTTAACTGATAATAAAAAAAACTGACAGTTTTCATCGTACACACACTCAGTTTTCACTGTCAGTTAAAACTGACAGTTAAAAGTGATCGTGTGTAGCCCCCGTAACAGACTTCACTTTACGCAGTACACATCTAACGGTTATACGTATTAACAGAGATGTTGTCTGTTCGCCGGTTACAATCCAACTGCCCGACGTTCCCAAAGCGGGGGGTATTTATACACTAGTAGCGATGACTCGTTAGACGATTGTCTATATACTATATGCACGATGAGCACAACGGGCTCACACGTATGGCTATGATGGAGTGGAGTAATAAAAAAGTTATTACGTTTCTTGAGATTCTGCAAACAGAGCTGTGTTTGTGGGATCCAATAATCAAAAATGTTAAGATCGTACATTGCAAAATGATGATTTGCGACGAACTATCCCATTATTACATTTTAAAACAACTTTCGAAGTATTAGCAAGACGAAAGAAAACCTAATGGGTTTTTATAAAACCATTTTAAACAAATATAAAAAGTCTTCTCCAACATTAACGAGAATTTTAACGCCGTTTACATTGAAATATAATGAAGTTGAGCGTCAAGTGTAGCCTCACTTTATCGCGTTAAATTTAAAGTAATAATTGCTGTGTTAATGAGCATTGACGTTTCCCGTTGTGACGGGTGATGTTTAAAATAAGGCAACAACCAGTCATAAAAAAAATTATATATTGGTAAAAGAAAAGGTCGTGGGCGTGGTTCCGATAATTTAAAAAAAGGTGCCCGTCTGGCTTCACTGGCAGGGTCAGGTACTCCCCTATGTGGCCGCGAAGTGGTCGAGCAGGGCCGGGGGGTTGGACTGTTCACGGGGAGCGCCGTGGGCAGCTGGCTGTGGCGGTGGCGGCGTCGAGGAGAGGCCTAGGCCCTCTTAAGAAGGACGACCGCCACGGTTGTAGTCGTAAAATTGCACCCTGGAAACAACGTCGTCCACATTTAGGTCCAGGTAATAAAATGCCGCCGATTATGAACCCCCGGTATATCGCAGGCTAGCAGTAGATGGGAGCACAGAGAGTAGCTGGCGGGTGTTCATAATCAGAACGGAGTTACAAGGCGGAATGGAAGGCAAGCGTCATAGCGGTGAGGCGCAAATTAAAATACACATGAATTAAAATTTCGGCAAGTGTAAAATACTGTTTAAATGTACCAGGATAACTAATTTAGGCTGTGCATTGGTTGAAACATGATGGTGACTTGCGATATCTGATCGCGGTGCGAAATGTATGAGACGCCATTTTGTAACGGTACTTTTGCCAACGCACACAGCGGCTACATACATTACTTACATGCAAATAACACTAATAACGTGGCAATTAAATAGCTAAAAGCAAACAGCCTGGCATGATCAAATTACACTACCTATAAAACACTTTCACTACTTAAAACTAGGTAACGTTTCAACACTTACCCTTACGGGGTGCAAGACGATACGGAGGTCTCGGTGACGAGAATTAACGAAAAAACTATACGGCCACAGTGCCGGAATTATTATATTATTTTAAACTTTTTCCAAAATGGGATTAAAATTTGCAAGCGCGTACGAGGACACAAAGCAGAGCTTGTGAACGCGGCTGCAGTGGTAGTGTGCGCCTCCCAGGGCGCTCGGGCGGAGAATGACCGGGAGCGCGACGCCGTGGAATGATACCGGCCGGGTAAAACTCTGACGCGAGAGTTGCAAAGCGCATAGAGTAACGAAGCGTCAGAGTGTTTGTTCGAAATACAATATTTTAATATTTGATTTATTATTTAATTCGTTCTTTTAGTTTACTGATTTGTTTTATTAATAGGATACCTAAGTTAATTATAGAATTATTTTTGTTAATAACTTTTATTTTATTTTTATTTAGTTTATTAAATGTTTATTTAATTTTAATAAACCGTTTAATTATAATTATGCATACATGTACGTGCAACGTTACAGTACCCCGCGCGCTACATAAGGATTTTATTATTCTTAATTAATAAAATCCGCTCTAAATTGTTATGTATTCGCATTATCCTTTTATACAACATCTCTCATACTTCACGCGATTATATCAGCGTCAACGAACATCAATAGGGTAGTTGACGCATCCTGTCATTTGGCAAGGTGTTCCAGCATCGGTTAGACTGGAAGACCCATACGAATACCTAGAGCTAAAGATGTAAAAGTGTGACCAGGGTAAAACGAGCACCATGTATATATATAAATATAACGCTAGTGTATTCCTAAGTAACAAGCAGAACACATGCAACTTAATTAAGTGTACTTGTAGGTGTAACATGGAGATCTTGTGATATTGCAGTGATGGTTGCTAGCCCATCTCCCACAACACACTACTACCCTATCCTTTAGTCGACTTTTACGACACCCACAGGAAGAAATGGGGTGGTGCTATTCTAACCCGACACCACACGGGGAAGTACCACTTTAAAAAAAAGTGTATACATATATGACTAAGTATTGTGTCCTGTTAATTTCAAATCCTTGATGTGCCAGGTGCCAATATCTTTCCCAGACATGTCAGCCAGGATGTAAACTAGGGGTGACTTTTTACCGATGACGCGACATTTAATAAATTTTGGCGCAAGTTTTTTACTAAAGAACTTATCCTTATCACTTAAAACATATGCGCGTTTCATTACAGTGTCACCAATGTTAAATTCCATAGGCTTGCGTCGAAGGTTATAGTGGGTTGAGTTTTTAGCATGAGCATGCCACAATTTGGCCTTTACAGTATCGAAAACTTCCTTAAGACAACCCAAATCCTCCGCGTAGATGTCACGGGGAAGGAATAAAACCTCATCGCCTAAATCGTTATCTAAATAATGCGAGCCACATGTAACGAGCTCCCTGCCGAACACCAGGAAGGATGGAGTGAAACCAGTCGCCTCACTCACCGAATTGTTGAGGGCGAACTGAACCTTCGGAATATATGTATCCCAACTGCGATGATCGTTGTCCACGAAAGTTGAGATACACGTGATAATTGAACGATTATGTCGTTCTACCAAATTAATTTGAGGGGTGTACTTTGGCGTGAAGAACACGTTAGGGACCTTATAACGATGGAAAAGTGACTCAGTGACCTTCGAAATAAACTGGCCGCCATTGTCCAAAAATATGGTCTGAGGGACACCATGGACGAGGAAAACAGACTCTTCCAGTAACTTCGTGACTGTAGTGGCAGTAGCACTTCTTAATGGGAAAATTAGGCAATATTTCGAGAAGCAGCATGTGACTACGAAGATATAAGTGTTCTGCTTCCTAGTGACAGGCAAGGGGCCCA